AATATATTCTAAACAATAACCTTGAGCGTGAAACTTCGAGTAACGTATTGGCAAATTACACGTGTGTAACGAATCAAAGAAAAATGTAACTAAATTTCATTGACTATCCTTTTGTGTTATATGAAATGTTACCGACGATCATGCAAAGCCATTCGTTGAAGAACAATTGGATGATAATGGCAAGGATGGAAGAGATTCTTCATCTCAACACGCCTCTAGTTCACCACACCAAATATTAATCAATAATGAGCCGTGAAGATCAATAGAAGAGCAAATAAGTGAAGCGACCTTAAAGACACAAGAATGTGTTGAAGTTATTTGAGCTTCATAATTGCACATCCTGATCGACATGCTGGAGAGGCAGCGCGGTACACGGCACTCCTGGTCATCGAGTGAAGTTCAGGCTGCTAATGACCCCACGCCACACATACTAAGTGACTTTGTGCCTACTCATACACGAGACTAACAAGCTAACTCTTCTGTTCCTAAAGATGCTTATGATGGTCCCCGACGTGGAAGTATGCAGCTCAAAGCGTTGCTGCGGTTTTAAAGACTTTCTGAGCAGTAAGAGATACGTTATGTACGTTCTATAAATCAATTCGTCTTTGAATTGTTCTTGAAACGAGCACTGCAGAAATACGTTATGTACGTATATAAATCCATTCGTCTTCTTCAATTGTTCTTAAAACGAGCACTACTTATCGTGATGATGTCAGCCTTTTGTTATATCACTTCTAATATTGTTTGTTATATTTATTCTATCTCTGTTAGTTTTTAGGAGTCACTTGAAGCACGAGACGAAGATGGTCGTATCGAATGGAGTCTTAACATGAGCAGCACATCGCATGCGTCGCTTGACTCGCAATGAGTGCAGCGATGGTCTCTGTAAGCACACATGAGACATGCGCAGTACGCTTCATGCTTCATGTGCTTACACTGTAAAACAACCGTACTATCGTTATTGCTCTACGGTGACACGCGAATTGGCTACGGAAATAACAAATTCTTCATGAAATATTCAAACTGTGGTTACTATAGGATTAAATGGTTGCGCATGAAGTTAATTAAAAGATAGCATGCCAGCTAGGGTGATTAGCTTCTTATCATAATGAATGAAGTTCGAGCAATGAAATTTTTTATTCAGCTAAGGGATGTCAATTGAAAAAGGCATTTACTCCCAATTAAAATTGACTAAAATAAACATTTTTTTCTTCTATTGTTTACAATTATTAACAAAAAGACTGCACAAATAAATTTCAGAGAGTTGAACTTCGATAAAAATCTTATTTTACCCGGAAAATTGCATATTCGAAAGCATATTTTGAAATAATGACTGTATGTGAACGAGCTAAATCATTTCTAATTTGATTCTTAAAATGAAACATAGACTGGATATTTCAACTTTACAAACAATTATAGTGAATTTATCGCTTATTTTATGAACACATACCTTATAGTATTTCTTCAACTTCTCGGATTGTATGGCTCGATCAGAAGGTGCCGTAGCATTAAATGGATTTCATACTCTTCACTTTTGAAAAAATGAAGTAATGGAACTTGAATTATAGTTATTTCGAGTCACAATTGGCAAGTTAGAAAATAGCCATCCGAAAATACAATGTATTATGAAGCTTAAATAGGAGTACTTATTTAAATTGGTGCAGACTGTGCGAATACTTGACTTTTAGCAGTAAAAACCCGTGGAGTTTTTGACGAATATAAGATCCCTGTTATATGGGACAGATAGCAGAATTTAAAATTAAAATGTATCAGACACCGAATTATTTCAGCACTCCTCCTAATTCTGTGACATTTTCTCACTAAAAGAATTATGCATACATTGAACCTATGACCAACATTAAATAACACCAAAGAAAACTTGATCGAATTACTTCCAATCTGAATACCTTGGGAATGATTATTTACAATTTTATTACCTCTCATACTTAGGCTTGCATCTCCTGAAAACTAAAACTATAATGTTGCGTCATCTATATTGGTATTTTATAAAACTCCGTGTTGGATCGTTGTCATTGTCAATGTTACCTCATTTATTTTGATAATCCTACTATTTAAACGCTTCTGTTTTATCCCATGCAACAGTGCAATCAATTATCAACAATGAATTGAAGTATCAAATGATAGCAAGCTTTTTATAGTCTACCATATGTTGCATACACCAACAATATAACATGATCATGTTGTCGATCTGAATAGAAGATTGTATAGAAAAACCTCATTGTCGTATATAAATTAAATTAAATTCCAAATTACTTTTAAAAACGAAATTCCGTAAATTTATTCTTGACCAGTATTAATTTGACTTCGTTTGTCATGCAGGTTCTGAATATTTTTGACTCTATATTTCAAGTTTTTACCATCTTTAATCACTGTTATATTGATATTGCTTTGTTACGCTTAATTTTAGTGACATCCTGTTATCAGTTTTCTTGAGTTTTTTTTTCCTTGTATGTGTTTAATTTAGAAACTTTCTGTTGCTCTTAACTTCTTTGACTTGTCATTGGAATAGAGTTTTAAATCACCTCTGTTGCCTGCGAAGCTTATCTGCTTATGGGCATTCACTTGGATGTCTCTATTATTTTATAAATGTTTTTCTTTTTCTCTTTTGAATTGTAACTAGAGCTCCTTTGTGAATAAAAATCAATCAATCAATCAAAAAAAATGGCGAAGAGAAGTTACATAGTTTGATATAAAACAAATTTAGTTCAACTGATGTCTGTAATAAACTTTACTGAAGCAACTTCTACTCAACGCAGCTTCTATTTTAGACTGGCGGAGCACAGAGGGTGAAGGTATCAAAAATTAAATCTACTTGCTCATCGCCTTCATTCGTCTGCAAGCATATACCCGCATAGCAGTGCATACAACTATGTCTCTATCAGCTATAGACTTTAAATTTAGCTTCTATTTTCATTGTTTCCGACTCGCGAATTTTAGACTCATTCCATGTTTTTATTCAGAAACCTTGATTGAATTTCCCGTTGTCATGCCTTTTTTGAGTATGTTTATTTTTTTAGTATATTCTCTATCAATTTCGATCGTTTTATTTTATTGCTCATCTATTCTAAAAATTTTCAAAATAACGGCGGAGCTAGTCCTCGAAAACTTTGTTTTAAAGATGTGTATAGGTATTGCCTTCATTTTTATCATATCTTTGTTTTTCATTTTTTATGTTATTTGTTATATTCATGCAATCAAGTGATTAAAATGTTAGATGCAGTTAGTTAACTTGTGAATTACACTTCAGCAAAAGGTGGACTTGTCATAATGCTATGATCAGATGATATTTGAGTTTTTTTCGATAGTGGCTTATAAATGCAAACTATCTGTTTCCAAGGCAATAAGAATAAATTTTATATTTTAAAGAGCTACCACACATTAAGGTGATACGATCTTGGTCACGATTAATAAGCTCGTTATGAACGACGTTATGTTAGTTGTAGAAAAGCACATGACCAACCGAATTAAATGATGAAGTTCAAAAAGTTGTTTCCAATATTTATTTGTAATATTATAAGTTAACCAACAATTCTTTGATTGCAATCTTCCACTGTTTGAAAAACTCCATTCCGGAGACGTTGAGCAGCACAAAAATACGACTAAAAAAATTGGATATACATATTATATATCGATGCCAACTTGGCTTAATTCTGCCGAGATAGAATTATCGTCAAGAGTTCAAAGTCTTTTATAATGATGATTCTATAATTTTATACTGATTTTATACTTTTTTATACTTTTAAAAGTCTCGAGTTTTTAATTCCTTCATTTTTTTAAAATGGGACAAGGACCTTGAAAAAAAATCGATTACTACCAAAGTATGAGGAAAAGAGAGAGTTATGAATCTCATCACAGATAAAAAATATATAACTCGGTACTCACTGCAGTGAATGACAGAGAGCGCATTTGCTCGTCGACGAAAACGTGAAGTCACGGACGGACAGACAGACAGACGCTCAGACAGACAGACGGACACGGCGAGCACAATAGCACCTTTTTTTCCATAAATGAGAAAATGCGCTAAAAAGTGTCGCCGTTGTACACTATAAAATCTAACTGGCAACAAGATATATCATTATTGAAAATAATGTGTATACTGCGTAATAATGAGTTATGAAAAGACTGTCCTGTAATGAGGCAAGGCCTGCTCAAAGAAAGTTATTTTTTGAAGCAAGGTCCTGAGTTAGTGAGAGAATCTTCTGTTACGAAGAAAAAAAAACAAGATAAAAGTTACGTTTTTTGTATAATTAAGTAAACAACGAAAAGTGTCTTACCTTGGAAGGGCAAGGCCTGCTCAAAGAAAGTTATTTTTTGAAGCAAGGTTCATGAGTTAGTGAGAGAATCTTCTGCTACGAAAAGGCACGATAAAAGTTAAGTTTTTTGTATAATGAAGTAAACAGCAAGAAGTGTCTTACCTTGGAAGGGCAAGGCCTGCTCAAAGAAAGTTATTTTTTGAAGCAAGGTCCTGAGTTAGTGAGAGAATCTTCTGCTACGGTATGGCACGATAAAAGTTTTTTGTATGATAAAGTAAACAACAAGAAGTGTCTTGCCTTGGAAGGGCAAGGCCTGCTCAAAGAAAGTTATTTTATGAAGCAAGGTCCTGAGTTAGTGAGAGAATCTTCTGCTACGAAAAAACAAGATAAAAGTTAAGTTTTTCGTATAATGAAGTAAACAACAAGAAGTGTCTTACCGTGGAAGGGCAAGGCCTGCTCAAAGAAAGTTATTTTTTTAAGTAAGGCCCTAGTTAGTGAGAGAATATTCTGTTACGAAAAGGCACGATAAAAGTTAAGTTTTTTGTATAATGAAGTAAACAACGAAAAGTGTCTTACCTTGTAAGAGCTTAAGGCCTGCTCAAAGAAAGTTATTTTTTGAAGCAAGGTCCATGAGTTAGTGAGAGAATCTTCTGCATGTTACGAAAAAAAAACAAGATAAAAGCTAAGTTTTTTGTATAATGAAGCAAACAACAAAAAGTGTCTTACCTTGGAAGGGAAAATGTGGGAGGTAGTGGGAGTTGATCACCGCAGAGGCGGCTGAGGAGATCATGGGCAGACTGCACACGTTGCTGGCGCTCAGGTTGGATCGCAAGTCGGCGAACATGGCGAAACTTGTCGAAATTTTTTTACTCACTTGGATTCGACCTTAAACTTTGCCGAGATGTTTAATTTCAATTTTCTGGTCCCAAAAATTTAAGTATTCCGAAATGCTTAAATTTTTTTCTTACTTTAAAATTTGTGACATCCATCCGTTTAAATTATGGATCCGTTACTTATAAAGAATGTCAATTTCAAAGTCAACTCAGACGTGCACTGTGTTGTTCAACTATCAGCATTTGTTGCATTAGTCTTATTGAATCAGTTGAACAAGCGTTTATTTGCCTTAACCACACTCATAATATCACAATATTTACGTTGATTTCTCAGAATTCCGACTATTTTTAATGCTCAAAAAAAGATATAAGAATGAAGTGAGAATTAGTAGCCTTCGCTGAAAAATCGGTACGAAATTCCAAGTGTCCGAAATTCTAAATTCCAAGTCCAAAAACCAATGGAAAATAATTTTAAATTCTCAATCCTGTATCTTAATATTTTCATCAGCGCATTTTGCCTAAGAAATGCACACGGACACGAGCGTGTTCAGAATTAGTGTAACAATGAGGTCTCTTGAAACATGTTACTGAAATTGACCAAAGGATTAATTCTATAGTGCAACTAACATTCTCTGCATTATAATCTGCCAGAGGAATCTCTTCCGCAATAATAATTCATCTGCAGGAATTGTGCAAAGTAATTTAGAACAAATTATATTGGGTAACTAAAAATAAGAATTATAATTATATTAGTATAAATATATTAATAAAACGGCATTGAAGTATATTAATAGGATAATTGTCAGAAAATAAGTATAAGGAAGTAAAGACAAATAAAAAGACAAATTTTCCTGAACAATAAAGGATGAAAAAATAACGAAATTTAACGATGTAAAAAAAATTGCTGTACCCTACTTCCTCCTAGTCAATGAAATTATTTTAAAAGTATAAATTAAAATAAGGAAATAATAACAGTCGTTGATTAACTTATAAAATTTTATATATAGTTTTTCATTTCTATTTTTATTTATTTATTTTTTTGCATGGCTTTGATCCCAATTGTGATCTTAAATTCATATACATATATACACAAGAAGTGATCTATCGCGGAGTCAAACATATGATCAACTTAATCAAGAATCACTCTGCATGCAGTTGAAAGCATTAATTGTTATTTTAGTGAGTATATCAGCAGTACAGGTACAGCTCTCAAGATAAACCAATGTCATCAAACATTAGTACTATTACGGTCGTACGAGGGAAAACGAAAGTCAGAATTAGCTTTTGTAGAGTTTTCAAATTAACTTATTCACAACTAATTATGAAAGTGTTTAAATTTAGTATTGGACTATAGAAATTGACGTACAGGATTTTTAGATTAGCTAATCATAATTAATAAGTCAGAGATTTTTCGCTCTAGCAAAGGAACATAAAAATCTTGAGAGACTTAATTACACGTTTTTTAGTATCACAAGCCCAATAGTATAGTTTAGCATCACAAGCACTATGTTAGCTCAAGCGTCTCTATATCGTTCTTAAGTAACATATAATATTTATAATTTCAAAACCAATTGTCATCCACGTACACGAATATTTGCACAGTGCCACACGCCTGTCCCTTCACTGGCTTGGTAATCACGGCGAATTAGAGAGCACTCGTCGTAAATCAACTCTTGAAACAGAAACGGAGTCTCACAATGCCATGGCGGGTTATATCTCAATAGATAGTTTAAGTCTAGAGTCCTAATTCGCGATGATTAAGCTTCATGAGGAGTGTAAGTCACAATTAGGGGAGCTGAGAAGAGCTCGTGTAGTTAGTCTGTCGCCCGGGGCCAGCGGATTGATCGGCCAACAGCACGCGATTGTTTGCTAGCTAAGCAGCGGTACGGTCTCGCTTTACTTTCCGGCGGCTCTTCAGAGCCTATAAGCTTACAAGTCTCTGGCTTTAAAATTCTCGACTTCTTTGCTTTTAACTGACGGTATTGATACAGAAATCCTGGGGTAGGAAATCAAAGTCTGCGCCAAGTTGACGTCTAGCGATATCTTCATTTAACTGCTAGAAGCGAGATGTTCGAGCTGTCGGCAAAACTTTGATGTGTTCGAGACGTTGTAGCGACGCCCGTGCGAGGGGCAGAGGAGCCCATTGGCAGACCCAGGGCACAATAGAGGAGCGGTGAAGGAGGAGCGTCAGTGACCCGCCCTCTGCGGCGACCCTCGGGCCACACAATCTCGGGCAACTGATTTTTTTAATATTCTCTTAGTAATTGAATAAGTTAAACGTTGTAAATATGTTGTCAATTTGTACATGTTATGTGAACTCCACAATGACGTCATGCTTAGAGAATCGCTAGCGTTATGGACGTATATATTGTATTAATTGTGAGATAATTCAATATGCAATCATAAGTTATCTAAGATTAAATTGATCGTGTTCGCTGATGTAACCCATAGATAACAAAATAGATCTTGTTATTTGAGCAGCGAGTTATAACTAACGCAAGCAGCTTGAGATGACAACCAAAATTGTTGATTAGTTAGAATGGGTTCTGTATGGCTTCGTTTAACTGATATTTTTTGGTTAATAAAACTGTATCATAAATAATGCGAATCTCAACATATTAATCTCATCGGCCACTTATATTATACAGTTTTAGTGAAGCTCACCGCAGTGCTTCGTTTCATAAGAAATGCAAAGTTTGCTCTCTTTGCATTCGGCTGAACTGCCTTTGAAATTAAAGAGCAACGAGAATCGTTGTTCCAGCTTCCAACAACGGCAGCAAACGAGGCCGAGGTTTTTCTGCCATAGATACGCAACTATGGGACAAACTAGCCGTACAACTAATTCAAAGAAGGTGTGACTAATTACGGAGAACGTTTATCGACATGACAATGAAGGAAATTTGTACAGAGCTCCGCGGTATTGTTTGAGAGCTCACTCGATAATCACCGTAGACGTTGGAACCATTGAACGACCGCTGTTCAGCCTCCGATCACGAAGCTTTTGGCTGTCCATTGAAGGCATAGCCTTCGCTTCTTGTTAACTGCACCGCAGCAACTCTAAAAACTAATCTCAAGTGGAATGCTCACTCAACACAAAGCTTCTGTCGCTAAACTGCAGCCCGCCCGTACAGACGTCATGCCTACAACCAACCAAACGTTCACTATTTTCGGCAAAACTTGTGAATAGGGAAATGCACATACATTTAGAAAGTATTCATTGAAGTCTAGAAAAGTATGGAAAACCTACAACTGTCTTTTTGAATAAAATGTGAATACTTGAAGCTGAAGGAAAATATTTCATCTTTTTAAAATCGTTTTTAAATATTTCAATAAATCTGGGTTTGAAACTAATGGTAATATTTTTAAGATCTGGAAATGAAATGAGTATTTCCACTCGTAACCTTAATTATATTTGATACAAAACATTTCTGAACCTTTTTCATTAAGCATATAATATTTTATAACAATATACAATCATCACATTTTAAATACGTCATCACTCACATTACCAGTCATAAACTTAATTTATTGCTATTTTTTCTTTTAGATAACGCCTTTGCCTTTGAAAGAATACAATATTTTGAGCGGAATAATGGCTTTGTGCTGACTTTGCATTGGTTATACGACGGAAATTAAATAGTAAAGATGATGAAACCCCTGAGCGTCTAGCAGTGTTAAATTATAACCGTAAACACTCTCATTATTTTTCAACTAATTGTGTTGCTATAAAATCACATGATTTTGTCTTGTGACTCAAAAGATTAAATTGGTTAAATACAAATTTCAACTATTATATTTATTTAACCTCTGCATCAGCTTTGGCTCAAGGAACTGCAAATGCATGCGTGCTGACTGCAAGTGATTGTATCTCTGATGACTAAATAAACAAGCGCTTAAAAGAAAAGCCTATAAATCGGAGCACGGATTTACTTCGGTTGTCCTTCATTAGATTCAATTTAGGCGAGCCGGACAATAGCGAACCGTTGTTGGGGCGCGCCTCTTGCATCGTGATGAGCGCAAGACAGTGTGGCGGGACTAAAGCGTCTTCCGAGTCCGGGACCATCTAAGTTAAACCAACGTAACAATTAATTAACAATCAACGTACAAAATACTTGGAACTTAACTTACTTAACAACTTAGGTTAACTTACTTAACAACTTAGGTTAACTTACATAACAACTTAGATTAACTTACTTAACAACCTAGATTATCCTACTTAACAACTTAGATTAACAATCAACGTAGAAAAATTAATTAAAGTTACACGTAGTTTCTGCTCATCAACCAAATAAATACAGGAAAAATATAAGCTATAATTCTAATTCTAATTAATACACGGTTATAAACCACTTCGCCAAAGTATCTAGTTAACAAAAAAAAGTAACTGTAAGTTCAATGGACTTAATATTAATTCAAAATTTTGTTGCAGATAGATGAAAGTAAATTTGCATAATATATTGTATGGTATTTTTATTGACGTATCTGCGGTCGATAAATATTTCTATATAAATTTATTCGTCGATCAAATCAAGTTCTTGAAATTCGAAATATTTTGTATATAAATGTGACCTCCAACCGTTTAGGTGGCAAATGATTTGCATCAAGTTCTAATTGATTGAACATTAATATTGCCCATATGGCTGGTCATTGTTAGGACACACCTTAGGATTTTATTGTAATAACTGATGAATGATGAACTGCAATAGCAATTCATAAAAATATTATTTAATTAAAATTCAAATTGGTCTAAAATCTGGAATAAAATATAAATAAATTTAGATAATCGAACACAGGCCAAACCTGTCAGCCGTCAAATTCTGTGCTGAGGCCTCCGTTGCGTAAGAAAAATTTTCAGGAATCAAGGCAAATATTTTAAATTTTTGCGCGCAATTTTCACAAATTGCACTCACTTTGAATTCTTTTGTGGAGGAGAATGGCCAGCTAAGCTTGCGAGGGTCTACCCAAACGAATCATCTATTTTTAAAACTACCTAGTAGAATTTTCGTACACTTACAATCTACTATCACATATATATTCGTCCTGGAATTAAAAGAGAATCAATTTGTAAACAATTACGACAATAATAAAATTAAAATATAATACAAAGAAACTGTAACCAATATGTGAAAGCCCTTTAATAATAATCTGATTAAAATAAATGCGCAAATACTAAGGTGTACTCACAAATATTGTTTTTGGATGATAGAAAAAAATAATCACACAAGTTTCAAGCTTTTTCCCCCAAGACGATTTCGCATCATTCCAGCTTTTTATTCGACCACAAACAACAAGTGTTAATAATGTCTTCTACCGGCCTAATATATGACACATCACTAGATATGCGGTTAGGAATACATTTTGATTCTATGTATTTTAAACGCAGAAGGCCAATATTTTAACAGAAAATAGAAAAATCTATTAGATCAATGAGGCTAAGAACTATTTGGCCAGGGAATTTTCAAGACGTAAGTGAAGCCTCTTATTGATCATATACAAGAAAATGGATTTGATACTAAAATGCCCAAAAATCCGATTGAAAGTTATTCATCCTACTCGCTGAATCTATAACATAAGTATAGAATAACTAACTACACTCTTTTCATCTCTAATTACTGGTGTGAGAATAGATAAAATTTAAATGTATGAACAAGTAATTCAAA